CGTGAACTTCTTCTCGGGCCAGAAGAAAGTTTGTCAATTCCATACATTCTCTTGCTTTCTTGCCGACAGTGGCGCTGAGGTGGCGCGACGCCAGCTTTGCCTGACCCAGTCGTGGGTAGCATCAGAGTAGAGAAAGATGGGACTCGCTGCATCGAAGCAAGACTACCCCTCCTACTTGCGGGCTCTGGTTGAGCGCGAAATCGCGCCTGATGACGACCAATTTTGGGATGCTTTCTGGTCCATGCCGGGGTCGGTCGAGGACATCTTCAACAGCGTGAAGCCTGACGATGTGCGCCATATGAAGCAACAACACCCGCGCAACCTCGCCATCCTTCTCAACAAGGTAAAGTGGAACCCAGCCTCTTCTTTTATGGATGGAAATTGCTGCATCACGTGCCATCCTTCTGTCACAAGAGCTCCTGTGTTGGCCTCCTTCCCTCACAAAGTGTCCCTCTACTGATTCACAATCTCCATCTTCCCTTTCGCCCTCATCATGAATCATCTGGTTGTACCCCACGCTCACGTCCCTCGTCTATGGGTCCACGTGTACGTCTGCGCGCATGTAGGTGGTGAAGCGCATGCGACAGGTGGTGGGCTCTGGCTCCAAGAACACGGCGTCGGACTACAAGGCGGCCCTCAACTGCGTGCGACTCGTGACGCGTCTGCTGCCCTTCATCACCGAGGACCAGTCCGACGACTTCCTCGAGGCCGTCTTCTGGCGCAGCGAACTGCCTGTCACCGCCGCCGCTCCCGCTCCCGCCGAGAACAGCACCAGCGCCGACGCTGCTGCTGCTGAGGCCCCGGCAGAGAGCAGCGCCGCACAGCCTCAAAGTGGCGACAATCAGCCCACCACTGACGCTGTCGCTGCGGTCGAACCCGCTGCGACTAGCCAGTCGCCGACGTACGAACCGGCCGCCGGGGTGCTGGCCGACGCGCTGCTGTTCAAGGGGGAGGACCCGACAGACCCGCTGGCCATCCGCCTTCTGAACGCGATCGTGAACCTGCTGTTCTACCCCAACTTCACCGTCTCCCCGCTCAACCAGGTGCCCGCCGAGAGTGCCGAGACCTTCCCTCTCGAGCACGTCTGGGAGCCCGGCGTGGGCGTGCAGGACGTACGTGACCTCCTCTCACCGTGCACGCAGTGCGTGAGCGTTGTGTGATGGATGTGGTATGCGTGTCGTGTGTGTCGTGTGTTCATCGGCGCGTGCGGCTGTCGATAACTGACAACTGTCGTCGCGCATGTTTGGTAGACACTTCCCACGGCGGCGCACATGCACTCGAACCGTACGGAGGTGCTGCGCTGCTTCCTGGTCCTCTTCTCGGAGGCGCTCTACAGGTGAGAAACAAAGCCACCAGACACGCACCACCGCACACGCACGCAACACACATGACGCACATCGCTGACGTGCGCGCAACCCATTGCCAGAACCCCGGAGGAGACCGGCAAGTACGTGAACAAGTGGCTGGACATTGTGGCGTGCAACACGTCCTATCACTCGCTCGCGATCTTCTACTCGCTGCTCAACACCGCGCTCTCGTACGATCCCGTCGGCTGGGGCATGCCCTACAACCACGTCATCTTCACCGACAGCCGGGAGGGCCTCGCCGACACCTCGCTGCAGGTGCGGCCTTCCACTTTCTGCTCCCCACGTGAGCTCACCCACTCACGCAACACCGCACACGCACATGGACGACATACGACACACACAGGTGTTGGCGGTGCTGCTGAACCACGAGCCCTCGACTCTGATCATGCGGCCGGGCGGCGCGCGTAACATATTCGTGGAGTACCTCAAGACGGTGGACCAGGTGCGCGAGTATGAGTGGATCTACGAGGCCATGCACCAGCTCCTCTCCAACCCGATCCGCGCGCACAACACCTACCTCCCCAACTCCACGAAGCAGGTCTCCTGCCACCAGGAGGTCCTCATGCTCTTCTGGAAGCTCATCCAGGAGAACCAGGTACTCTATAATTATTAAGCGCGAACGTAGTTTGTGTGCTGGTTGGTTGGTTGGTGCTGGTAACTGGTTTTGCTTCTTGTGGCGGTGATCGCTAACAATGCGTCGTTGTTCGTTGGTCTGTGGCGGACAGGGCTTCTTCCGTTGGCTGCTCACAAAGGGGGACGTGACCAAGGTGTTGGACCCCATCCTGCACTACCTCCACGAGGGCCGTAAGGACATCAGTACGCGTGCTCCCCCCCCCTCTTTTGTCTTTCCCCCTCCTTCTTTTTACTATTACTATTACTCACACAAAAGGCGTTTTTCTAAATTACTCTTTCTTTGGTGCAGCACAACGAGGTCTCATCCTGCTGGGGACGTTTGCGTTGTTGCACCTGAGCAGCAAGCGAGAGTTCGGAGTGCAGCTCAACAAGCCCTTCGTGCGACGCGTGACCATCGACCTCCCGACCTTCACAGGCAACTATGCCGACTACCTCATCCTGGTTCG